AAACTGCTGCGAGACCGCTGTGCAGACACCTCCCCTGAGAGAAGCACCTGAGCCTGCCCAGGGCACCATGTGGTCCTGCCCACGTCCCTCCGTGCATGGCCCTGCTGCCTTCATGAGTCTGCATGTCTAGCTGAGCCCAAGAGGACACCTGAGTGGGCATTGCAAGCACCAGGTTCATCCCTTGTAAAATGTTATCGCTATCAGTGCTGAGAAACCTTGTCCGCAGAAAGAAACAGCGATGGAGGAGTCATGCGCCAAAAATAACTTATGTTAGACGGACAACTTACCTGAAAGGCTGAAACTAACAAAGCCCATTAAAGAAGAAATCATCGGAATAGCCCTATATCTGTTCAATAAATTGAATTTACAGTTAAAAACCTTCAAACCAAGAAAAGAAAGCCCTGGCAACGCAATTAGAATTCTTAACGTGGGAACGCGAACTCTGCAGCCGCTGTGGAAGACAGCGTGGCGTGCTTCAAAAGACATGGCATAGAAGCAGCATGGGATCCAGCAATTCCGCTTCTGGGTGTATACCCGAAAGAACCGACAGCAGGCACTGGGTGATATTTGCACGCCCATGTGCATAGCAGCACTATTCACAATAGCCAAAAGGTGGAAACAGCTCAAGCGTCCTTCAGCAGACGAGTGGATGAACAAAATGTGCTGCATTCATACAGCAGGTTATGATGCAGCCTGCAAAAGGAAGGAAATTCCGACACGTGCTGCCACATGGAACCTTGAAGATATTCTTCTCAGTGAAATAAGCTAGACAGAAAAGAGCGAATACTCTGTGAGTCCACTCATATGAGGACCTGGAGTAGTCAGATTCATAGAGACAGAAAGTAGAAGGATGGGTGCAAGGGGTGGGAGGATAAGGGAAGGGAAGTTAGTGTCGAATGGGGACAGAATTTCAGTTTGGGAAGATGAGGAAGCTCTGGAGGTGGATGGTGGGGATGGTTACACTACAGTGTGAATGTGCTTAATACGCTTAAAATGGTTAAAATGGCCAGTTTTATGTTTTATATATTTTACTACAACAGAAAAAAAGACTTCTTCATTACAACTAACTTTTTACAAATACACAAAGCTCTTATTTTGGTTCCAGAAAGCATGCTCTGTGTCTAATTGGCTCATTTAGGTAGAAGCTGGTAGAACCCGTCCTAACAGATGGGGTCTCTGTGGAGCCAGCAGCATTGTCCCTCGGCCCCAGATCACCGCCCAACCTCTAAGCTGGGAATTCTGCAAACACAGCTGTGGCCACAAGACAGATGGGGACAAGCATCTGAGGGGGTGTGACTTTCATCCTAGGAAATCAGCCTGCAGCCCCTGATGAGTCACTAGTGCCATGGAGGTTATCCGTCAGATTCCACGGGCCTAAGCAGGAGGGGTTGGCAGACGTCACCGAGGGGCCAGGAGCAGTCCGCACTGAGAGGCGGTGGGCCTGTTCAGAAGCCTGGGCAGATGTATTTGCCTCTGCTCAGAGAACGTGTAGAGTTAACAATGGAAACGCCCATATGCAGCTGGTGAGAGTGTAAATTGATGCAACTTTCCCAGAAACCTGTTTGGCAGCACCTCCTGAGTTTACTGTGTGCATACTCTACGACTGAGCAGCTCTACTCCTGAGTACGTATCTATCAGAAGTGCGTGCAGACGTGCACGAAGACACACACAAGAAAGTTCCTAACAGCATAACTCACAGTAGCCCAGATCTGGGAGCAGCCGGAATGCCCACAGCAGCAGGACAGAGGACTCAGCACGGCGTGGTCACACAGCAGAGCACTGCATTGCGGTGACGTGAGCCACACCCCACACCAGGTCCTATTGCTCCACTCAGAACAGGGACCATCTCGTGAACACAATACTGAGCAAAAGAGTCCAGACACATTGTGTGGTTCAGCAATATAAAGTGTAAAACAGAAAAACTAACATATGATGAAACAAGTCAGAGTACTTACTCTGAGGGGAATAATGATTGCAAAGGGGTATGAGGGAATCTTCTGGCAATGTTCTAAATCTCGCCCCAGGGGGGATCCCACAGATGTGTTGCCTTCATTGAAATTCTTCTAGCTGCACATTTATGACTTGTGAATTTTCTCTACATATGCTATGCTTCAATTTAAAGAGCGACTTAAAAATCCATCTATGTCCTTTAAAGTTTATTTGTAGACATTTAGGAAAGTTAGTTTTGAGACTAAAGAATACATAAGTGAAATTAATGAGAGTGATAATCCTATAAGATTCAAGGAGTTAAATATTTATTTTTAATAAATGAGTTGAAATTCGAGATCTTACATTTTTTGTTGAGACGTCAAGAGCAGAATAGCAAAAACTGTTGAGTGACACCCCCTATTGGCCATCAACAGTAAGTGCAGGGCAGAATCAAATGAAATTAGATCCGTGATTGCTAGCTCGAAAGCTCATCTTCGCTCATAGTAGTCACACGCTGACATTATAGTTTAGTAGAAAGAGTGAGAAAGAGGTTAGAGTTGTAATAGTTGTGTCTGGTGAGTGGACAGAACTGTAGTAACCGCACCTTTGTTTCAGGACATCTTTGTACCTCATTCCTCGTTTAACCATCTTGGTGCTCCGGGGACCAAACCCCTCGGGGCCACCTCTGGAGCACAATGCAGAGTGACCGAGAGGGAAGCAGTGGAACCAGAGCCCGGGGCTGCATTCTCCCTTATTCTGCATCCATAATGGTCCTTGCAAAACAGCCGCTCCCCAGAAAGGGCAGCCGTCTGCCTGCAGTGGGGGAATCAAGGGGTCTCTGGAATAAATGTGGGTTCCTCAGCACCACGTCTGTTAAAGGCCCTGATGCAGGCTTGGTGCAGTTTTTCCAAGGTCTAGGTTCTGGCTTCCGTTCGTTGGTGACCATCTCGGCAGCTCGGGGTCAGTACTGAGCTCCAGCCCCTGCTAACCCTTGGGACAGGGTAGAGACCTTCAAGCTCAGGGAACCACACGGGCTGACAACAGTGAGAGGTTTCAAGCGAAGAAATGAGCGGTTCACTCCTTCACATGGACGAGTTGGCACTGGCTTAAAGCTGCTACTTGCTTTTTCTCCGCGGCCCTCACCGCTCAATGCCCGTGAAGGAGTGGGAAGGCACCATCAGGGGGCCCCTCCTGGAGCTTCTGGAGGAAACTGCCCGCGCCGGGGCTCCCCACTCTGCACGCTGGCCCCAGTCAAATTGAGAGGGCCACCTCTTTCCCTAATTGGCTGCCAAATGCTCTGTCCAGACTGGCCTTTGGATTCCCTCAACATTCTTTCCCCACCGCTCTTCAGATCTCCCGATGTGGATTAGGATTGCCATCTCTTGGCCGCCCACACGCCCAGGATAATTTCTAATATGCACCACAGGAAAAGGAACCTTGAATAAGACTGAACACTAGAGAGATGGACAGAGTGGTGAAAGGCAAACAGTTTATACGTTAAACTGAAGAAAATGTTACATGTTTATTTATTTTTATTTTTAAATTTTTACAATCGTGGTTAAATATGCATAATAAAGTTGACCACCTTAACCCTTTTTAAGTGTACAGTTTTGGAGTGTTAAATGTATTCACATTGCTGTGCAACCAGCAGAACTTTCTCGTCTTGCACAGCTGAAGCTCTGTCGTGTTACACACGACTCCGGGCCCCTGCGGACACCCCGGCAGCTCCTTCTGGGCTCCGTCCTGTGACTCCGACGACTCTAGACCTCCGGTAAGTGGGGTCCTGCAGGAGTTGTCTTCTTGTGACTGACTTATTGTTAGACGTTTATTTTTAACAAGAAGGCCTTGCAGGAATTTTTAATAACACCGCCTGTTTCCGGAGAACTGGTTTCATAAGCTCCTCCCCGACACCCCTCTTCGTGATATTTATCCTCCGCCCCTCTGCTTAAAAAGAGTAACCCTTTATTCGACTACTCCTTCCTGTCTCTTGTTCTCAGTGTATTTTCTCTCCCTTTCCCATTTTTTCCTTTTTCGTGCTGTTTTCCACAGCCCGGCCAGAGGGAGGCTATAAGGATGGAGCGTGCGGCGGGTGAGGACGAGGCGGGCTGCGGGGCGGGGACCCTGCGCTCTGGGTGGCCAGCCTTCGGGGGCGGGGGACGACAGTCGGCTTTCAGGAGAGGGACCGGGGAGCCGCCTTGAAGAAAATGAAAAAGGTCCACTGAGCCACTACACATTTCATCTTCCGAGAAGACGAGACCTATGTGACGGGGCCCCAGGAGGCCCCCGGAGACTGCGAAGGAGGAGGGGTCCTGGGTCAACACCTGGCCGGGTGGGAAGGGGAAGTTTCCAGAAGTCGGGCGAGAGTGGGCACTGAGAGGGACCAGCAGCCAGCTTGGTCCTAAGGGAGAGCAGGGGCTGCCTCGAGGGGAGACACCCACAGATACACGGTAGTGAGGTCAGCACCCATGGGCACACAGGGCTGTGCTAGCTGGCCAGACTAGGTGCCATGGTGACCAGAACGAGGGCAGACAGCCAGAGGCTGGTGGGGGCTGGGGTCTGGAGAGGCTGTGAGCCCCCGGGGTCCTGCACAACCCAAGGGAGGGGTAAGGAGCCCCCCGGGATGTACGTTAGGGGCTGAATCGTGTCCCCCAAAAGGATATGGTCACATCCTAACCCCCACACCTGTGACGGGGACCTGACTTTGCAGGTGTAATTAGTGAAGACGAGATCCCACTGGAGTAAGGTGGGCCCTTATCCAACAGTTTCCCCACCTTGTATGTATTTTGAGGTTTCAACTCTATTCAAGACAGAGAGATAAAGCTAAAGACTTTTTAGAAACTCCTATTTTAAATAGCAAAGGTGAGAAGATATATAAAGAGCTTCAGATTCATCTTGCCAAGCTTTGCATTTTCTCCCCTACATTTCTCCTTTATGTGACCGAGTTAGGACTGTGAATTGGCTTCTTCTGGTGGACAACAGATAGGATTTTCTATTTCCTAGAGCCAACTCCTGGATGAGCACAAGCAGCTGGGGTGGTGACTGAGCTATTTCTCTCTTGTCTGTTTATTAAGCAACAATGTAGCAAGTGGTTCCTGAGCACCTGCTGTGTGTCTGTGCCGAGAGCCAGCCAGGAACTTGATGACGGCGAGACAGCGGGGTCTGCGGTCCTCACAGAGCTCACCTCTGCTCAGGTCGTGCTTCTCGCTCCCCCTCTCACTTCTCAGTGGTCTTTTCTTCTTTCCCATGTAAACTGAGCACTTTAAAAATGAATGATGTTGTATCACATTTTGTGTAACCTTAGGCAAGGTACTACTCCAATTTTCAGTTTTTCATAATACAGGAGTTGGCCTGATGCTGTCTGTTTTGGTGGTAGAATTGAGAGCATCTGGGTGATTTTTTCCCCATAAACATTAATTCCATATTTGATTTATAATGAAGTTGCAGAACTGTTTATAGATGATTGGTAAAGAATGTCCATAATAAGTAAAGAGATAAAATGTGGTGGTTTCCATTTTATGGCACAAGAAAGGAAGAAAGAAACTGTTCAAGTTGCCATCTTTCCATTTAAAATTTCTGTTTACTCTTGGGGCTGGCCCCGTGGCCGAGTGGTTAAGTTCGCGCGCTCCGCTGCAGGTGGCCCAGTGTTTCGTTGGTTTGAGTCCTTGGTGCAGACATGGCACCGCTCATCGAGCCACGCTAAGGCAGCATCCCACATGCCACAACTAGAAGGATCCACAACTAAGAATATACAACTATGTACCTGGGGGCTTTGGGGAGAAAAAGGAAAAAAACAAAATCTTAAAAAGATAAATAAATAAATAAAATTTCTGTTTACTGTTTGTAAAGCAATAAGATGAAACGAGAGAACCCAGTCTTAGCCGGGTGAGTTCAAAATCGGGTGAGTCATGGTCATGTAGACTGTGTCCTAAAAATATGGGGTGACATCCCCACGTGAAGACAGAGGGAGCTGGTAAATAGCGAAAATGGAATCCCAAATGAAGTCATAGCTTCAGAATCTTTTCTCAACAAAGAGCTGAGAGAGAACCGAATGTTCTCAGATGACCTCATTTAACCAGCGGTGGTCTGGGGGCTTGGTGAAGAATCCTACAACATAAATGAGAGGGTAGTGAGCCAAGACGTGGGCACAAGGGCAGCAGCTGTGACAACTGCAGCTTAGGAAAAGAAAGTCCGCCTCCCCACCGTGGTGGCGTGTACCCCTGAGGCCCCAGTAGATGCTTCCATTGCATGTGGCCTTGCTGAGCAATGACACCAAGATTAGACCGGACAAGGCAGAACCAAAGCCAGGACAAGTGCTCAGAACTGGGCCACCAGCCACAAGTAAAACTCAGCGGCTGCAGAACCCTGTGCTCTTAACATTTTCAATAATATCATAGCTCTTCAGATTATCCTCTGCCCCATACGTGCTGCCGTGTTCTGGGCACACCCACTTGAGGACTCTGCCAGATGCTGAGCTTGTCTATTCCAGTTGTGTATCCTAGAACCGGGGAGAGAACCACAGGATGGGTCTGGGGACCCACCGAGCCCACTGTGAGAGGGACCTGAGCTAGAACTCCTTGACCACCTGACCTCCACAAGCCCCTGCTCTGACTGGTGGCCACAGTGACACTTGAGGTCTCCTGGAATTAACGTCAGTTCAGAGCCGGTGTCCAGTGGTCCCCAATATGTCTGATTGTTTCTCTTTCCCCAGGGCACAGTCACCCTGGTAAAAGGCCATGTTCTCTTTGGAGAAGGCTGGGAGAAAGATGAACAGTATAAATTTTGGGCAGCGTACTGGGGTCCTTTCTCAGAGGGACCCAGTCTCCCCTTCATTCCAGGGGTCCCGGGTCTGTGAACTGGCTCAAGCCTGAGAATTGATGGAGGGGCCGTGATTCTGATTTTATGACTCAAGTTAGACTTTTGTTCACTCGACCTAGAACTTTTCTGTTTATACAGGTCAAGTGAGAATTTAGTAGGTTTCCCATCTGTTTCACTTCTAGAAACGCTCTAATAACTAGCTAGAGCTGTAGGGCTGCGCCAGTCAGACAATTCCGATGGCGACTTTGACTCTACTGTCCGTTACGTGACCACGCCCACCCTGCTGTTGGCAGCTGGGTGCCCCCACATGCCCTGCCACCCGAGATCCACTGACCCCCATGCATTTGGGTTTCCCAGTTCAGTGGCAGCAGATCCCACCGTGAGATCCAGCCCTCAGGAGGCGCACCCACACAGCTCTTCCAGGATGCTGGGGTTCCCCTGAAAAGTGTGTTCTCTGGACCTCCCAGGGTGCGCAGGTCTCACATGACAAATCCACTCAAAGCTTCCGGTCTCCCTGAGCCTTTGGATACCTCCTTCTAGAGCATCCTAGAGCAGTTCTGGCATTTTTACTTTATCTCATCTCGTACGGGCTGCGCTAGGTTCATGTTTTAGCCAAACTAGCACACCAAACAGCCCTTTCCAACTTCTCAGACTAACACGTTGAACCACAATCTCCGCTCAATGGAGCAGAGATTCAATAAATCCCCATATCAGTAAATTCAGCCTGACTCAGTATTGCGTTCCTTCCACCATCATCCCACACCCTTAATATCCATCCCCACACATATTCCCCGGATTTCTGTCTGTATAAATCGGGAAAACCATCCAGCTCCTTTGGGGGGTAGGGCACTCCTCTTGGGCCACACTGAACCTCACCCTTCGGGGCCTGGGGGACTTGAGTCATAGGTTTAGAAGAAAGGTGGGTGGTGGGCATGCTGAGGAGACCCAAGAGAGCCGGCAAGGCAGCTGCCTCAGATCCCCAGACAGGTGGGGCGGCTCCTCATGGCAAAGGAGACGCAGCAGAACTGACAGTCCAGTGCCCCCAGCTTCATCTGGGTCTGGCCGTACGGTCCCTTCCCACTTCTCAGGATTCCCTCGGAATGGGTCATTTTAATAGAGCGTGGCGAGGGCCACGGCGGGGAAGACAGAGTTGTTTCTGGAGATAGAGCAAGTTCCTCACCCAGTGTGGATGGAGGCTAAGGAGCACCTCGTAGGGGAGAGAGTCCTGAGCCGGGGCATAACGAGTGACCGGGCCCGGGGAAGTGTGGGAGGAACTCCCTATCTAGACAAAGGACAGAATTGGGAAAGGCAGAGCCTGGAGTGCGTGTGTGTGTGTGCGTGTGTGTCTATGTGTGCACGTGTGTGGAGCAAACAAGTGTCCCTATTGTTGCCGAAATTTAAATTATGAAGCAAGAAATCATAAGGAATAACACTGGCTCACATTAGTGAGCTCCCGTGAGGTCCCAGGCACTGGGACAGAACAAACAGACTCACAGATCCCTCCCACAAATCCTCAAGTGTTCTTCTTACTGTTGTTATTTATTCTCATCAGACCACTTTCCAGAGGAGGAAAACAAAGCAACGGAGAGCTAACTGCCTGGCTATTCTGGGATCAAAGCCTCAGGATTTCTCCAGGTGGAGGAAAGTGTCTGGACGAGAAGCCCGGAACCACAAGAAGAGGCCGAACATGTGTCCTCGCATGACCTCTGCCCTGGTCACTGAGAGCACGGAGGCCAGGTGTGCATGTGGACTCCAGATGCTTCACTCAGCGAACAAGATGGAACAAGATGAAGAAGCCGATGGCCGATCTGAGACCATTGCAGAAGTGCAGGAGCGGGAAGCAAGACCAGGGACTATGGAACGGGGCTGACTCGGTCAGCATTCGAGGGGGCAGTATTGTCAGAGCTTGGCTGTTGATTGAACGTGGAGTCGAAGAAAAAGAAGATGAAATTTGAACCCCAGTTATGGTTTGGGTGGCTCAGTGAGTGACTGAGTCAGTGGCTAGGATGGAGAATAAAGAGCAGGCACATGACAGGGAGTAGGTGGCATCAGGTATGTGTATTCGAAGATTTAGTTTTTATGGCTACATATATTTATTTCAATAACTCAGCCATGTTTGTTTACAACCATTAAGACACTGCTCCACTTCTTTAATGATGTCGACTAAAAGAAGTGTTCTAACTTTTAGTTCTTTTTAGTTCCCAAATACAATAAACACCAGGCTCTTATTCTTTTATATATGTGTGTGTGTGTTTGTGTGTGTGTGTATATATGTGTTTGTATGTGTGTGTATGTGTGTGTGTATGTGTGTGTGTGTGTGATCAGTTCTACTGATGTATAATTTACCGACATATACTATTTTTAAGTATATACCTTGATGAGCTTTGACAGATGTGTAGTCATGTCACCACTGCTGCAATTATCTAGTATTTTTATCACCCGAAAAGCTCTCTGTGCCTCTTTGCAGTCTCTTCTTCATATTTTACTAGAAAGTTCTAGAAACTAGACATCCTGAGGAATACTTTACTGAAGACGTTGGTAGGGCTGGACGTGACTCTCATTCACATGTGCAGCAGTCTCTGAATGCCTACCCTGCGTCACCCATCTCGTTAGGATGGGGGTGGGGGTGAGGGATGAGGAGGGGCTGTCTTACCTGTTGAGACTGAGTCCCGTGTGGCCTTCATTGAGAGAAAGGGTGTCGAAGCTAAAAAGCAAACTGGAGAAAGACCGCCGCCCAGCCGCCTTTTCTCCCGTTTTGATTGGTGCCCGACACTCCCGCCTTGCTATTTTTCCAGCCGCACCTCACTGCTCTCGTTGATTCTGATCCTGCACGTGGATTCTGCCACGTGAGCATCCAGGCAAACATTCCTTCCCAGGTCTGCTCCTCAGGACCCTCAGCGCCACGTCAACACCCTCAAGGCTGCAGAACCCCAGGCTTCCTCTGAGCCTCGGAAAGGAAACGCAGCCGCAGAAGACAAATTGTCCCTGGACTGGGCGCAGACTTGCTATCTTCTCAGTCCTGGGCCTGATGCTCTTGGTCAGTGGGGATGGAGTCAGCCTCCCTGCTACACTGACTCCCTGAGGCTTGGCTCTCCTCTCCCCCAGCCCATCCTGAGTCCCAACGTGGCCCCGACCGAGGATGTAAAATGTATCACAGTATTAATAAGCAGAATCAAAAGGCCTAGTGAACAGACGGGTCTGGGGAGTAGAGGAGGTAGAAATGTATAATTGTGAATTTTCTGGTTTGGGCAACTAGGTAGGATGAAAGGGAATTTGGGAGGAAGGACAGATTCGGGGTGGGGGAGAGATAACACGTCCCACACTGAACACACTACATGCAGTGTGGGGCCTACTCTGTTGAGGTACCTGCGGGATGAACAAGGGAAGATACACCACTCTGGGAGTTTAGAAAATTGGAATTAGAGACCCCTTGATGGAAAGGTGGTATTTCAAGCCCTTGGTTAGACAGGCTCATCGAAGGTGTAGAATAAGGAAAGAAAAGTGTTTCGGGTAGAACCCTGGGGAGCCCCGATATCTACGGGATGAGCAAACAGTAAGAATGCCACAGCCGTCGGGGGACGAGAGGATTTCAAGAAAGGAGCGGTTAACAGTGTAAACACAGGGAAAAGTTGAAGTAGAATGAGGAGTGGGAAAATTCAGTTGGATTTGTATATTAAGAAGTTTTTAGTAGTCTTAAGGAATGTGGTTTCAATTCCATGATACACCAGAAGTCACACCTCTTGAGGTCCAGATGTGAATGCCAGTGAGGAAGAAAGAGAGAGGGGACGTTACTTTCAATAGGTTAGGGATGGAGTAAAGTGAGAGATAAGACGTGATAGTGGATTTACTCACCTTACAAATCACATACTCAAAGACAAGGCAGAAAATACATTTAGTATCCTGCAATATTATGATTTCTAGTAAGGAATATATAGATGGTCATTGTCGCAGGTTCCTGGCACACAACTCCTAAAACTCTTGGAATATCCTAAGTGACAGTGTCTTTTTGTGTTAATGAGATGAGTGCTGGTGGGGGCTCCTGGACAACCTCAGGGGGCGCTGGTCACAAGGGGAACCAACCAAGTGATTAGAGGGCTGGAATTTTCAACTCCGCCCTCCCAGGTTGAGTTAATCACTAACGGCCAATGGTTTCATCATTCTGCAGCTGAGTGGGGGCAGTCTGGTAGGACTGAATCCTTAACCTGGGGGATCAGATCCAACTCCAGGTAGATAGTGTCAGAATTGAGTTAGACTGTAGGACACCCAGCTAGTGTCTGCGGGAGAGATGGAGAATATCTTAGTATGGGAAAGACACCCACACATCTGGTGTCAGAAGGGAAGTATTGAGAGTAGAGAGCTGAGGAGAGGACGAAAACAGAGTTTTTTCTTACATAGCAAGGAAAATAATGCAGTCTTTAGGTCAAAGTGGTTCACCTGTGGCTTTTAGTAGGAAAAAGAATGAAAACCGGGCAGCACAGTGGGAGGTCAAGAATAGTTTGTTTATATCCTGCCATATTCCAAATCGTGTGACGCAAAATCTTACAAGGCAGAAAAATGCCTACTTTCTCTTGAACTGTTTACAGCAAAAGGGTGAAAAAGAAGATTCCAACTCCAAAAAAAAGAAAATACATTAACCTTTATTCTCAAACAATAAGTAACAAAGAACTGAGGGTCCAGGGGTGAATAGGGGGAACTTTCAACACCTTCCCCAGCCTCTCAGTACCCCAGCACTCCTGACCCTTTTTCTGCGATTACTGAATTGCTTCTCTTGTCCTCCTCTCTCACTGTATCAGGCTTCATGGACTGTGCCAGGGACCGAGTTGGTTCTACCATGAAGAAGAGGTTTTTTTTTCTATCAGTTGGTGTATCTTTGGCTACTAATAATGGAAAACCCTGACTAAAAATGGTTTCAGCAATTAGGCTATTTATTATCTTGAATCATAAGAAGTCTAGACTTAGTTCAGATTGGTTCAGCTGCTCCATGAGGTCACTGAAGACCCTAATGGAGCTATCTCTTCCCTCCGCTATGTATAAGGTCAGGGTCATTCAAGGATGGTTTATCTCATGGCCAGAAGATGATCACCAGGGATAATTAGGGCACGATGATTCCTCATTCACATCTGGTGAGACAAAGAAAACTTCCCAGACGTTCTGAGCAATCCCCTCGTGGCTGCAAATTGGCCTTGGCACACCTGACCATGAGCCAGTTATTCCTAAAGGGAATAGAATTACCATTATTTTCTTAAATCAGTGGCTCTCAACTTTCGCTACTTTTTACAGTTAGGGAAATTTTAAAACCTTTAAAATCTGTATTGGTTATAATATTAAAACAATATTTGGGGTGGGGTCCTGCTATGAACTTATAAAAAAACTTCTCAGCCACCAAGCCTTAGGTTTAAGGACCACGGCATAACGTAATGCTCACACTCTAAGACATAGGACAAAACCAAAATAGACCAACTCTAACAAATAATGAAACCAAACCTTAGAGGATCAAGATGATTTCCGGTTACTTAACTGCAAACCAAAACTAAATTCAACACCCTTTATAGGCAAGCGACATAATTTAGACTCCCTAAAATGTATCAATGTCCAGCACGTAACAAAAAATTAAAACAGTGTTAAGAAGCGGGAAACCTTAACCCAGACTCAAGAAAAGAAGTAGTCAAGAGTAACAGACCCTGAGGTGACCAAGACATTAGAATTAATAGACTTTAAAAGAGGTATTGTAAATATGATCAAGGCTTAAAGGAAAAGCTGGACTCAGGAGTGAACAGATGAGAAATTTCAAGAAAGAAATTAAGACTGTAAAACGAACCAAATGAAAATTCTAGAACAATGTCTAAAATAAGAAATTCACTGGAGGGGCTTCACAGTAGATTGTAGATGGCAGAAGAAAAGGTCCAAAACTTGAACACAGACCAGTGGAACTTAGCCAATCTGAAGCACAGACAGAAAAATAGGCTGAAGGAAATGAGCATCGGTGACGTCTTGGACAGTGTCAAGTGTTCTAACGTGTGTAACTGATGCCCCAGAAGGAAAGGAGAGAGAAATGGGGCGTGAAAAACATTTGAAAAAATAATAGATGAAGATTCCCAAATTTAGTGAAAAAAATCAACCTACACATCCAAGCAGCTCAGTAAACAGGAAAAACACAAAGAAAACCACACCCAGCGCTCATAGTGAAGCCACTAAAAATCAGAGGTAGAGAAAATCTTAAAGCAGCCAGCAAAAAAGAGACATTAGACACAATAGTCAAGGATGTGAATGACTGCCAACTTCTCGTCAGAAAAAAATTGGGGTCAGAAGACAATTAAATAACATCTTTAAAGTGCTGAAAGGAAAAAAAAATAACTATCAACACAAAATTCTATATACGGGAGAAATATCTTTTAAAAATGGGAGCAAAATGGGAGGGGAGGGCGTGAAAGGGGTAAAGAGAGATTTTGTGCTGTAACAGATGGAAACTAGACTTTTGGTGGTGAATACGATGTGGTCTATACAGAAGTTGAAATATAATGGTGTACACCTTAAATTTATATAATGCTATAAACGAATGTGACCTCAAGAAAAAAAAATTGGATACCAAGCAAAAAACAAAATAGAGATCAAATAAAGACAGTTTTAGATGAAGGAAAGCTGAAAGAATTCATCCCCAGCATGTCTGTGCTAAAGGAAGTTCTTCAGGCAGAAAGGAAATGATTCCAGAAGGAACCAAGGGCACTAGAAATGGTAACTAAGAAACGGTGACTACTTTCTCCTTAATCTATTCAAAGTACATGTGACAATTTAAAGCAAAAATCACATTTTATTGTGGATTCACAACATTCACAGGTGTGATGCATACAACGACTACAGCATAAAGAGCAAGGGGTGCTTAGTGAAAACATACGGCTGCAAACCTCTTAGGCTTCACAGAAAGCGGCACAAGGTTAACTCCAAGTAGACGGGGAAATTAAGAATACATACATTACTAACTTTACAGGAATCGTTTAAAAACTCACAAGGACCTTAGCTGAAAATTCAAAAGAGAAATTAAAAGGGAATTCTAAAAAATGCCCAGTTACTCCAAAAGAAAACAAGAAACGAGGAACAGAGGAATACACGTGTGAAAAACAGAAAATAAATAGCAAAGCGGTAGACCCAAATCCTATCATATCAATAATTCCGTTAAACGTAAATGGACTAAACACTCCAGAGAGTTTAGATTCCATTTTTTTAGAAAAGCAAGAGCCAACTCCATGCTGTCTACAATAGATACATCATAGACATGGCGATGAGAACAGGGTGAAAGTAACAAGACAGAAGAAAACAGACCATGCAAATAGTGTTGGAAATCCGGAGAGTCTATATTCAGATAAAAGAGACTGCAAACCCTCCAGT